AGGGTCCGAGGCAGGAGCTGCGCTTCGGGGCCACAGCTGCTTGTGAGCGTTGTGGGTGCGGGGTGCCGCGCACAGCGCCCCCCGGCCATGCTGAGGGGCCCAGGAAGCAGAAGACATCTTAACTGGCTGCACCATTGTCCCCAGTTTTCTGGTCTCCACTGTGAAGATGGGCGAGGGTACGCTGTACCTACCTGATCAGGAAGGCTGCGCCCCTCAGCTCGCGGGAAGTTGTCGTATCACCACGGGAAACCTCTTCGCACCAGACACTCATTATAAAAAGGACAAGCTATTGATTTCACCAAGGGTGGAACTTAGTCACTCACCCTCTGTGCCAAGTTCCAAATGTGTTCTCAGTGCGCAGAGGATGGGAATGGAAAACATTCGTCTGCGCTGTCAGGCTCCGAAAGCCACAGGCTCCCCGCCCCGGGGAAGGGGGCCCAGGGAGGCAGGAAGAGCGGGCGGAGGGCGGGCGGACGGCAGATTGGGGCGCAGCCTGGAGGGTCCCCGAGCAGAGGGGTGGGGGTGCTCTGCCTGCGGCCCTGGGGCCTCCCTTCGCTCTCCTGTCCCTGGGCTGGGGGTGAAGCTCCAGGGACCTGGCCACCCTAAGATGACCCTCGGCGCCCACCCTCCTCCCAGGGCTGTGCTGCGGGTCGGGACGCGCTCCACGCCGTGTGCACAGCTCGTGGGGAGCCGCCTGTGCAGGCATCACTGTGTCACCTTCCTGAGTCCCCATTTTGCAGGTGGGAGCAACTGTCCCAGGGAAGGCGGGCAGCACCCCTGAGGCCACAGAGCCAAGTCCCTGTGACCCAGAGCCTGTGTCTCCACTGTCCCTCCCACCAGGCAGGCACCTCCTAGCATGGGTGGTGAATGGGGGTCGCCTTTGCTGTCGCCCCTTTTCTCTCTGGCCTGTGCACGGGGCCCCTGAGGCCGTTGGACATGTGCTCGCACTGTCGGGAGGCGACCCCGGTGACCCCTGGCCCTTCCCCTGCCCTCAGCTTCAGGCACTTGAAAGCAAAGGTGATTTCCTGCGGAGGAGCCTTTTCCTTCTCCCTGCGCCCCAGCTCCCTGCAAAGCAGCAACAGCCAACAACTTGTGCACTTATTTACTTTGTGGGTGGAGGGGGATGGGCTTTGAGGAGGCAGCCCTGTGGGAGCCCCGCACCCCAGGGAAGTGATGGCCTCAGTCCCTTGGCTGGGGGTGAGTGCACAGCCGGCTGGGCAGGGGCACCGCTGCTGGTGATGAGACGCCCGCGCCTGTTTGCTTCCACGCCCTGCAGTCAGCAGGAGCCTCGCTGTCCTTGACCGTCGTCATAAACTGCCCTGGCCAGGCACCTCCCAGGGCACCCAGGCCAGGAGGGTGGCAGCCGTCGCAGGGTGGGTGCTTGACGCCCTGGTGTCACCGAATCCTGCTCCAGGGCCGGCGGGGCTTGCGGAGATGAGGAGGACGAGCTGGCTCTTCCCCCCGGGCCTCGCCAGGGCCTTGGCCGAGCATCCAGCTGGCCGGCTGCCCCTCACCCATCACCCATGGCATTCGGCGTCGGTCATGGGAGGGCAGGTCCTACCCGGTGAGCCAGCGGCAGAACAGTCAGCGTCGAGGGCCAGGGCCACGTGAGGCCTGGTGCCGGCACCCGCACCTCCTTCCAGGAACCAGCGCAAGGATGTGCCGTGGTCGGTGCCGGCGGCACAGGCAGGACTCGCCCACATTTGGGCCTGTGCCCCTCCTCCGTGAGAGAAGCATCCAGAGCCCTTGGGGCACCCACTCTGGGCCGCAGGGGCCGCAGTCGGCTGGGTAATCGTGGAAAGCCGGCCTCAGGCTGGCTGGGGACGAGCTGGAAGCTCTGCTAGGCTGAATTGTCGCAGCTGCCGGACCTGCTGGGACGAGGGGAGCTGAGCGAGGTGCCCACCCTGCCCGAGCTGACCGCCAGCCCCAGCACTGTGCCCCCCTGGCTTCCAGACACCTGTTCCCATGTGGACACCCCCCTCCAGTTTCTGTGCTTTGTGCCTGGGGCCAGGGAGGGGCCGAGTTTCCTGGACCTGCAGCTGCCATTGTGGTCTCGTCAGGTTTCCTTTCCTACTGGCTGTAGACGGTTCAAATACACACAGACACGAAGAGAACAGAAAACTGTGCTCTCGACCTGGGTCCAGTTGCCCCCCTCCCCACCCAGGCTCATCGGGAGCCGATCTCAGATCACATTGTCACCTGCACGAATTTCAGCGTGTCTCCAAGAGATCAGGGCTCTTTGTCACTGGCGTATTCTTACTAGGGGACTGGACTCTGGCCGCAGGCCCTGTGCCCCCCTGTGCCCTGCAGAGACCTGGCCTGGGCTCGGCCCCTGGCTCGTGGCTGCTGCAGGGTCGGCGTTCCCCGAGGGGGCGCTGCAGCGTTCCTCGCGTGCTGCCAGACCACCGCACCTCTGGGCTTTCCGAGCCCACCGTTAGAAGGGACCCGCAGGTCACCCCAGCGGCAGATCATCGGCCAGCTAATGGGGCGCGGTGTGCTGAGGCCTCCAGGGGGGCGGCATGGGCGTGCTCCCTGGTCCTCGAGCACAGGCCTGGAGGGACAAGCTCGGCTCACTACCAGTGAGGAAGCAGCGGGGGGGGGGGGGGGGGGAGCTGCCCGGCTGCCCCGAGCCACTCGGAACCGCTCTCCGTTCCTTTCCAGGGGCCATTCCTGGGGTGGCTGGGTTCCCTGACGGGCCCTGGCTCCCCGTTTGCTGCTGACAGAGGACCCTAGGGACCGCTTGTAGTCAGGGGCCCTCCCGGCCCCGGCGCTCTCGGCCCCCACTGGGTAGGCACAGCCTGGTGGGTGTGCTGTCAGTTAGAAGGTCTGCTCGTGGAGGCAGGTCCGGTGCCTGGGACACGGGACGGGGGGCGTCAAGGCTCGGCCAGGGGCAGACAGTGTTTGGTCGCTCGTGTGCCAGGGTCAGGTGGGGGCACTGCCGCCCTGTAGACAGGAGAGCGCGCTCACCTCCGGGATGACTAGTCTGGAACAGTGTTACTGAGAGACACTCCCCACTTCTCAGCTCTGGACCCCACATGCACTACCCACAGTGGGGTCCTCTGCGAGGCAAGCGGAAGCCCCGCTGCAGCCCTTCCCCCCCCCCCCAGGAGGGCCAGCATGTTGCTCTGCCGTGGCCTCTGGCCGCTGTGGATGGATGGGGTCACGTTTCCTCGGCCACACAAGCAGGTGCCCCCGGGAAGGGGGGCAGGGCCCTGCTAGCCTAGCCTAGGGGCCTTGACCTTGCATTCTTGGCCACATCATCTGCTCCCCATTTGGGACGGGGATGGACGGAGAGAGAGCAGGGCCCCGCTAGTCCAAGTGGTCCACCGGCCAGTAGCATCGCATCACCTGGACGCTTGTTAGACTCGAGTCTCAGCCCCAGACCCGCTGGGCCAGAGTCTGCGTTCCCAGGGCTCCCGGGCTGGAGCAGCCCTGCCCTGGCGCATCCTGCCGGGCCTGACCGTGCCCCCGAGAACTTCCGTTTTCCCTGGGCTCCGGGTCAAATTGCATAGCCTCAGACTTTATTTTTATTAAAAAGTTTTTTTTTTTCTTTATTGATTTTAGAGAGGGAGAGGGGAGAGGGAGAGAGAGATAGAAACATCAGTGAGAGAACATCAACTGGCCGCCTCCTGCAGGCCCCCACTGGGGATCGGGCCCACAACCTGGGCATGCGCCCTGACTGGGAATCGAACCGGTGACCTCTTGGTGCAGGGTCAGCGCTCAACCACTGAGCCACACCGGCCGGACAGATTTTACTTTTTTTTAAGAACCAGCCGGAGAGGAGGCCAGAGCAGGGGGACCTGCTCCAGCAGCGCCTGGGAAAGCCCACCTCACTCCGGAGGCTCAGGCGGCCCAGAGCCCTGGACGGGAGCACGCGCCTGTCTCCGAATGTCCGAGGTTCCGCTGGCTCCAAGCCCCAAGGCTGTGACAGCTTCCACCTGGTGACATTTGGAGGCGATTTCTGAGAAGGCGCAGAGGAATACTCGGTCTAGCCTGACATGGCATCCTCCGCTTCGCCAATATACCATTTCTCTGTAAAACCCTTGTGCCTAAAAATAGCCGCTGGGGCCTGGTGTCATTGTGGATGAAGGGCAGCTGCCCCACTTTGGCTTTCAGACACCCTGAGTGTCGCAAGGAAATGTCATCCCAGAGGAATTTGCACGGCTCTTTAAACCTAGATCCCCAGCCAGGCGAGCAGGAGAGAACTCTGCAGCAGGACAGGCGGGGCCTCGGGAGGTGACCTTCTGGCCCTGCTGCAGTGACCTCTGCCTAGGGGTCATGCCACCAAGCATTTGGGCCACTCTTGAGGAAAGGGGCGCTGTCCACACTCCCCCAGGTCGGCAGGCATGAACAGGAGCATCCCTGACAAAGCCCAGCCTGGTGTAAACTGGGCTGGTCGGGTGGCTCCGCTCCCGCAGCAGCGGGACCCTCCTTCTCCAGTTGCTCAGAGGGAGAAACAGCAGGGCTGACGGCGACTACGGTGCCGCTTCCGGGGACCCGTGCCGTCCAGGGCTCCCTGCCCACGAAACAGTCAGAGTGGCTCCTGGAGGCCACGTGGCCAGCGCAGCGTTTGTGCCCACTGTCCTTTGGGGCAGAGACTGAGCAGCTGGCATTCCTGGGGTGGAGCGAACATGGGGCTCCAGCAGGGGTCCCTTTTCCTTCCTGGGCTCTGCTCTAGGCCTTCCCTCTCCCATTTCCTGTCAACTGCATCCTCAGCTGACGTTCGGTACCCAAGAGGCGCCAGGAGGGGTTCCCTTGCTGTGAGTGGTGTGAGGGCCCACGGCTCGGCCAGCTCCCGTTGGCTGTCCCTACAACCCTGCCAAGCTCTTGTGTTCCCCTCGCAGACTCTGCCATGGGCTCCCGGCCCCTCGAGGCATCCCGGCGGGCAGACAGGCCCCGCCTGGCACCTGGAAGTCCCCGGAGCCAGCAGAGCTGAGGCAGGGCCCACGGTCCCGGGTTCTCACCTCTCTGACCTGCCTGTTTCTGTGTATGCTCCACAGCCCGAGACCGAGGACGAGAAGAAGCGCTTTGAGGAAGGCAAAGGGCGGTACCTGCAGATGAAGGCGAAACGGCAGGGCCAGGCGGAGCCTCAGCCCTAGACGCCTCCTCCAGCCGCTGGGCCCAAGCAGCCCGGCACCTAATCACTTAGAGGTTACCCCCTTGGCCAAAAACCCAGTTCACGTTGAGAGCCGGTGTCGTGTGCAGTATTTGTCCGCAGTGTTCACCTGTCTTCCTGAAATACGTACACCAAAGCTTTATTTCTGTCATTCCCGTGTGAGTGCTACCAGTATTGTCCTTGACACCCCAGTTCCCTGGATCCCTGGGGAATATTCTACGTATACGGTCTGGAAAGACTCCAGCATCACTAATAAAGCTGCTGTTCGGCTGGACCTCAGTCCTGGGTGGTCTTTTGTCCTAGGGGCTCCTTTGGGCTCGCCCACCTGACTTCCTGAGCCTGTCCCTCTGGCTGCCAGGACCGTATGTACCCCAGAACTTCAGGCACAGCAATGCCCACTCATGTTTGCCTGATGACTTGCTGGCTGGAGAGAGCACCCCTTCCCCCTGAGCCCTGGTTCCATGTCCTGGCCTGAGGCCCCACACAGCACCCCACTTGCGGTCGGTCTGGCTTATCCAGGATGGCAGCTCCAGGTGGGTGGGCACTTGTGAGGGGCGGGGAGGTGACTGCAGGAAGAGACCAGACTCAGCCCAGCATGTGGCTACTGCTCCCTGGAAGCTCCCCCACCCTGGAAGCTCCCCCACCCGGGCTCTCCTCTGAACCAGAGGCAGGGACTCGGGGAGCCTCCCAGCCGGTGCCAGGGCCAAATGTGGAAAGTTCGAGGTGGAAATTTCCCCAGCCATTCCGCAGGGGGCGTCGGCGTGGCCGGGGTGGGGGTCTGAGGGCAGTGTGGTAGTGGTGCCCGGGAGGCTGTGCGGTCGTGTGCATGCACATCCCGTGTGCACACCTGTGTCTGCATCCGGTCCCGCAGCCTCAGGCAGCCCCCAACCCCCTGGGGCTGAGGAAGCCCCTCCACCAGCACGCCTGGTGGTGGTGCTGGGGAAGGTTCCCCGCTCAGCCTAGTCCAGCAGCTGCCTCACAGGCTCCCTCGGGCCCCCCCGAGAGGAAGCTCGGCTCCAGAGGTGCAGAGACACTGGTGGTGGTGCTGGGGAAGGTTCCCCGCTCAGCCTAGTCCAGCAGCTGCCTCACAGGCTCCCTCGGGCCCCCCCGAGAGGAGGCTCGGCTCCAGAGGTGCAGAGACACTGGTGGTGGTGCTGGGGAAAGGTTCCCCGCTCAGCCTAGTCCAGCAGCTGCCTCACAGGCTCCCTCGGGCCCCCCCGAGAGGAAGCTCGGCTCCAGATGTGCAGAGACACGGGTGGTGGTGCTGGGGAAGGTTCCCCGCTCATGCCGTAGTCCAGCACTGCCTCACAGGCTCCCCTCGGGCCCCCCCGAGAGGAGGCTCGCTGCCAGATGTGCAGAGACACTGGTGGTGGTGCTGGGGAAGGTTCCCCGCTCAGCCTAGTCCAGCAGCTGCCTCACAGGCTCCCTCGGGCCCCGAGAGGAGGCTCGGCTCCAGAGGTGCAGAGACACTGGTGGTGGTGCTGGGGAAGGTTCCCCGCTCAGCCTAGTCCAGCAGCTGCCTCACAGGCTCCCTCGGGCCCCCCCCGAGAGGAAGCTCGGCTCCAGATGTGCAGAGACACTGGTGGTGGTGCTGGGGAAGGTTCCCCGCTCAGCCTAGTCCAGCAGCTGCCTCACAGGCTCCCTCGGGCCCCCCCGAGAGGAGGCTCGGCCCAGATGTGCAGAGGACCTGTGGTGGTGCTGGGGAAGGTTCCCCGCTCAGCCTAGTCCAGCAGCTGCCTCACAGGCTCCCTCGGGCCCCCCCCGAGAGGAGGCTCGGCTCCAGAGTGTGCAGAGACACTGGTGGTGGTGCTGGGGAAGGTTCCCCGCTCAGCCTAGTCCAGCAGCTGCCTCACAGGCTCCCGCGGGCCCCGAGAGGAAGCTCGCTCCAGATGTGCAGAGACACTGGTGGTGGTGCTGGGGAAGGTTCCCCGCTCAGCCTAGTCCAGCAGCTGCCTCACAGGCTCCCTCGGGCCCCCCCGAGAGGAAGGCTCGGCTCCAGATGTGCAGAGACACTGGTGGTGGTGCTGGGGAAGGTTCCCCGCTCAGCCTAGTCCAGCAGCTGCCTCACAGGCTCCCTCGGGCCCCCCCGAGAGGAGGCTCGGCTCCAGAGGTGCGAGACAGCTGGTGGTGGCTGGGGAAGGTTCCCCGCTCAGCCTAGTCGCAGCAGCTGCCTCACAGGCTCCCTCGGGCCCCCGGCGCGAGAGGAAGCTCGGCTCCAGAGGTTGCAGAGACACTGGTGGTGGTGCTGGGGAAGGTTCCCCCGCTCAGCCTAGTCCAGCATCTGCCTCACAGGCTCCCTCGGGCCCCCCCCGAGAGGAGCTCGGCTCCAGAGGGGCAGAGGACAGGTGGGGTGCTGGGGAAGGTTCCGCTCAGCTAGTCAAGCAGCTGCCTACAGGCTCCCTCGGGCCCGAGAGGAGTGCTCGGCTCCAGAGGTGCAGAGACACTGGTGGTGGTGCTGGGGAAGGTTCCCCGCTCAGCCTATGCCAGCAGCTGCCTCACAGGCTCCCTCCGGGCCCCCCCGAGAGGAAGCTCGGCTCCAGAGGTGCAGAGACACTGGTGGTGGTGCTGGGGAAGGTTCCCGCTCAGCCTAGGTCCCCCCAAGCAGCTGCCTCACAGGCTCCCTCGGGCCCCCCGAGAGGAAGCTCGGCTCCAGAGGTGCAGAGACACTGGTGGTGGTGCTGGGGAAGGTTCCCCGCTCAGCCTAGTCCAGCAGCTGCCTCCAGGCTCCCTCGGGCCCCCCCGAGAGGAGGCTCGGCTCCAGAGGTGCAGAGACACTGGTGGTGGTGCTGGGGAAGGTTCCCCGCTCAGCCTAGTCCCAGCTGCCTCACAGGCTCCCTCGGGCCCCCCCGAGAGGAAGCTCGGCTCCAGAGGTGCAGAGACACTGGTGGTGGTGCTGGGGAAGGTTCCCCGCCTCAGCCTAGTCCAGCAGCTGCCTCACAGGCTCCCTCGGGCCCCCCTGAGAGGAGCTCGCTCCAGAGGTGCAGAGACACTGGTGGTGGTGCTGGGGAAGGTTCCCCGCTCAGCCTAGTCCAGCAGCTGCCTCACAGGCTCCCTCGGGCCCCCCCGAGAGGAAGGCTCGGCTCCAGAGGTGCAGAGACACTGGTGGTGGTGCTGGGAAGGTTCCCCGCTCAGGCCTAGTCCAGCAGCTGCATCACAGGCTCCCTCGGGCCCCCCCGAGAGGAGGCTCGGCTCCAGAGGTGCAGAGACACTGGTGGTGGTGCTGGGGAAGGTTCCCCGCTCAGCCTAGTCCAGCAGCTGCCTCACAGGCTCCCTCGGCCCCCCCGAGAGGAGGCCGGCTCCAGAGGTGCAGAGACACTAGTGGTGGTGCTGGGGAAGGTTCCCCGCTCAGCCTAGTCCAGCAGCTGCCTCACAGGCTCCCTCGGGCCCCCCCCGAGAGGAAGCTCGGCTCCAGATGTGCAGAGACACTGGTGGTGGTGCTGGGGAAGGTTCCCCGCTCAGCCTAGTCCAGCAGCTGCCTCACAGGCTCCCTCGGGCCCCGAGAGGAAGCTCGGCTCCAGAGGTGCAGAGACACTGGTGGTGGTGCTGGGGAAGGTTCCCCGCTCAGCCTAGTCCAGCAAGCTGCCTCACAGGCTCCCTCGGCCCCCCCGAGAGGAAGCTCGGCTCCAGATGTGCAGAGACACTGGTGGTGGTGCTGGGGAAGTTTCCCCCGCTCAGCCTAGTCCAGCAGCTGCCTCACAGGCTCCCTCGGGCCCGAGAGGAGGCTCGGCTCCAGATGTGCAGAGACACTGGTGGTGGTGCTGGGGAAGGTTCCCCGCTCAGCCTAGTCCAGCAGCTGCCTCACAGGCTCCCTCGGGCCCGAGAGGAGGCTCGGCTCCAGAGGTGCAGAGACACTGGTGGTGGTGCTGGGGAAGGTTCCCCGCTCAGCCTAGTCCAGCAGCTGCCTCACAGGCTCCCTCGGGCCCGAGAGGAGGCTCGGCTCCAGAGGTGCAGAGACACTGGTGGTGGTGCTGGGGAAGGTTCCCCGCTCAGCCTAGTCCAGCAGCTGCCCTCACAGGCTCCCTCGGGCCCGAGAGGAGGCTCGGCGTCCAGAGGTGCAGAGACACTGGTGGTGGTGCTGGGGAAGGTTCCCCGCTCAGCCTAGTCCAGCAGCTGCCTCACAGGCCTCCTCGGGCCCGGAGGAGGCTCGGCTCCAGAGGTGCAGAGACACTGGTGGTGTGCTGGGAAGGTTCCCCGCTCAGCCTAGTCCAGCAGCTGCCTCACAGGCTCCCTCGGGCCCCCCCGAAGAGGAGGCTCGCTCCAGAGGTGCAGAGACACTGGTGGTGGTGCTGGGGAAGGTTTCCCCGCTCACCTAGTCCAGCAGCTGCCTCACAGGCTCCCTCGGGCCCCCCCGAGAGGAGGCTCGGCTCCAGAGGTGCAGAGCACACTGGTGGTGGTGCGGGGAAGGTTCCCCGCTCAGCCTAGTCCAGCAGCTGCCTCACAGGCTCCCTCGGGCCCCCCCGAGAGGAGGCTCGGCTCCAGAGGTGCAGAGACACTGGTGGTGGTGCTGGGAAGGTTCCCCGCTCAGCCTAGTCCAGCAGCTGCCTCACAGGCTCCCTCGGGCCCCCCGAGAGGAGCTCGGCTCCAGAGGTGCAGAGACACTGGTGGTGGTGCTGGGGAAGGTTCCCCCGCTCAGCCTAGTCCAGCAGCTGCCTCACAGGCTCCCTCGGCCCCCCCGAGAGGAGGCTCGGCTCCAGAGGTGCAGAGACACTGGTGGTGGTGCTGGGGGAAGGTTCCCCGCTCAGCTAGTCAGCAGCTGCCTCACAGGCTCCCTCGGGCCCCCCCCGAGAGGAGGCTCGGCTCCAGAGGTGCAGAGACACTGGTGTTGTGCTGGGGAAGGTTCCCCGCTCAGCCTAGTCCCAGCAGCTGCCTCACAGGCTCCCTCGGCCCCCCGAGAGGAGCTCGGCTCCAGAGGTGCAGAGACACTGGTGGTGGGCTGGGGAAGGTTCCCCCGCTCAGCCGAGTCCAGCAGCTGCCTCACAGGCTCCCTCGGGCCCCCCCGAGAGGAGGCTCGGCTCCAGAGGTGCAGAGAACACTGGTGGTGGTGCTGGGGAAGGTTCCCCGCTCAGCCTAGTCCAGCAGCTGCCTCACAGGCTCCCTCGGGCCCCCCCGAGAGGAAGCTCGGCTCCAGAGGTGCAGAGACACTGGTGGTGGTGCTGGGGAAGGTTCCCCGCTCAGCCTAGTCCAGCAGCTGCCTCACAGGCTCCCTCGGGCCCCCCCGAGAGGAAGCTCGGCTCCAGAGGTGCAGAGACACTGGTGGTGGTGCTGGGGAAGGTTCCCCG